CACGATTCACAGAGCGTCCGCCACTCCCTCCCAGCATGCTCGCTGATTAACGGCCTCTTTCTCTCTGGTGACACGCTACGTTCTTTAGCTCTTTAACCCATCACAACAATGTGGAGGACCATTTATTTCCTTCCTCCCTTTCCCCCCCATTCATTCTTCTCTCCATTCTCTCCAGCTCCCTTGTCTTTATGTGGGCTATTTTTCTCTTTGCTTCGTGCTCCTTGGTTCTCTGAGGGTTTTTTTCAGCCAGACACGTGCGTGCACATGTAATGTAATTCTCAGAGTAATGTAATCCGTAAATCTAAGCATTTGTTCATTGTAAAGTCTTTCTTTACGTGACGAACACATTCTGCCAGTTTGGGTTTTTCTCCTTTGTGATGTGGTTTATTTCAACTGGGTTATTTTACACCAAATTGCTTTGGCTTGTTCTATTCACATGCCTTAGTGAGGGTAAATTGTATTGTGTTGTATTTTGGGAAGACGTAAGCCCAGAGTCTATTTGTTTGGGTCTTGGATCTAATTAGATATTTAGCAAAGGGAAAAGTGAAATTCATGAATTTGTGTGCAAACCTTTTGATTGATAGCTAAAAAAGATGTAAAAAGAAAAAGGTACAGTTTAAACTCAGTGAGAAATGTTAAATGTAAGTTAATTACATTAATAGACTGACTGTTTTATATTCACACAGTATCTGAGTCCTATAAAATCAATATAAAGTCTGGTCCTACCAATTCAAAGGCCAGTGAGCGACGAATACTAACTGTGTTTTTTTTGCACATGGAATTTAAGCAAATTAAGAATCGCTGACTGAACAATGGGGAAAAATGTCAGTGCAGCACCTGTTTGTTTCAAACCTTTTTCTTACTCAAGCAAATCATCATTTTATGGAGTGCAGTCAACAAATCCTAATTAAAGGTGACACAGTGTTCCCTTACCTATTATTGTGCTGTCGGGTGGTTTTTTTCACTTTGTGTCCGTGTGCGTGTCCGTGTGTGTAATGAGGTGTGTAAATTGAATGTCTTAAAGGTTGATGCTGAGAGTCACCTGTTCGTAGGTCAGATGATCATGTCGTCCGGAGTATGCGACAAAGAATCCAGCCAGTATGTGTTTGTGTGTCTGTCAGTGTGCGTGGGGTGGAGGTCCACATGAGTGCGTCAACTTTGTCACTCATTGATCGTGGAGGTCTGCAGAGTGTGACATTAGTTTTATGTCATTGGAGGATTAACACACTACGTCTATGGAAAAGGTGGACAGTAGTCAAGTGTAATACGCAGCCTCCCCAATGCATCGCTAAAATGGGCATTATTCTGAATGATTGGCCTTTCAGGGTCATACAAAGTAAATGCAATTGGCATTCTTCATGTTGACCAAATACATTTTAAAAAGTGTGAATTTCATATTATTATTTTATTCTGTAAAACATTAGGTCTAAGAGATCGCAAGTCCAATGATGGATGAAAATAATGCTTAAAATGTAGGACGAAACGTCTTTGGTAGGTGAGGGTGTGTGTGAGTGTGTGTGTGTGTGTGTGTGTGTGTGTGTGTGTGTGTATTGTCTGTGTCTGCTGCACAGTCACTCTCATACCGCATAAGGCAGGATTTGGCTGTTCCATATGGATGACACTCATATGCGACGGGTCAGGGCACATCACAATGTAAATATAAGCAGCTGTTTGTGGGTGTCAGCAACTCTTGAAAGGCATTGCAATATTTTATGTTTTTAAATGCTGATTTTTTTACATGTTTGTTTTAACACAAAGGTCCACTTATTTAACAATTATGAGATCTCTCCCTGTATGTCTGCCATTTAGAATTCACCTGTTTGGTGGGTTATGTGAACATAAAAATTTATTTGGGTTCATCTTTCTCTTTATAGTGTCTCCGATGAAACATTTTTTATTTGCATGCTTATTTTTATTGATTAAAACTTTCTCCCAATGTAAAGAAAATATTACAATATTTCCTTGCATAGAACCAGTCACCATCCATTGAGCATTTAAACCTCCAAATAACTTTACTCTCATAGTTCTCCGTTTTCAAGATGCCTGATGATAACTTTACATAATGGGCTTTATTCAAACACTACCATGTATTACTTTTTGTGGGGATGTTTGTTTCAAAGTAAAGTCTTCATACCGACCATATGAGTTCTGTCTCATTTCAACAGAAGAATATCATCATACACTCACCTTCCCTCCAGTTATTCTAGATTACTGTTGTGTTTGTTATCTTTGTCCGTTGCCACTGTTTGCGATTAACATGAGAGTAACATCATTCATCCGAAGGTTAATTAAAAGCACATTGTATTTGCGCACAGAGGAAAATCGTCTCCTCAGTGCCTTTGGCCCCCAGAATAAGAAGTGGCCAAGGTGAATCATATTATCTCCCTTTATGTCCTCCGGATAAGAGAAATGCGAGTCAAGGAAAGCGTTATGGGAAATTGATATGGACTCATGCTTGCTGGCTTTTGCATTTTAAATAATCCTCTTCAGGGTGAAACGTTGTAAGCCGCTTTGTCACTTGTAGCAATTTGGTTCCCAAACTGAATTAAAAAGTAACATGATGGCCAATGGCGTGAGATACTACACCAAGGAAAAAGGTTATTTTGAGGTGCCTGGTACCACCTCTGTTGTGATCTACAGCCTAGTATTGTTATCAGGCTAAAGGCAGAGATGGCGGAAAAGATGAGAACAATTTTTTTTAGCAGGAACAGATGGGATTTATGCTAAGGGGGAAGGAAATGGATTTACTCAGTCCTTTTGTGAGGCCGATGCCATTATACTAGGCTGCACCTAAAAAACATTTCTGTAGCTATTGCCCCCCCACCCGCCCCTTTTTTCTATTTACCTTTGTCTTTGGCTCGCTAGGGACACATGTTTGGTTTATTCTAGGTCTACACCTTCCTCAATTTCGTCTCTCTCTCCTACTTTTAAGACCCCACTTTGTCCACTCGGCTCAGAATCAGTTATCTGCACGAGTAAATGTGTGGTTGTCTCCATGTTTTCTTCAGTCAGTCATACATTATCATCCATCCAAGTGCTTTAATGGTTACACATGTGAGAAGGGTGGATCCCCATCTCTTGTCAGTTCCTCTTGCATGGTCTTCATTATTATGGCTCCCACCTGTATAATCAGTCATGACTGTGTATTTGACCTCACACCGTAGGACATCCAAGGCTACACACGGAGACAAGAAGCTAATAAACTGGCTAGCTTTTCCCTTAATAGGTGAAATGTGAATGTAAATAGTACACAGTGCCAAGAATTGGACCGATTCCTTATGCAGTTCAGCAGTTTCAATGTGTGTGCTCATGCTGCCGTGCTAAAACCTTGTGAAAGCAAAGCATGTTTCACTGATTAATGGGGGTTTTTGTACTGAAAATGAAAATTGGTTGATGGGATTTTTTACATTTCTGGTTGAATTCCTAAATGTCAAAATGCTGTTTTGTATGTTTCAATTATTGTAGTAATTGTAATTGTTCCAAAATCACAGGCTTAAAATCAGCGTTTTTCCTCAAATTGGAGAGAACAAGGACACCTGTGCGGTTGTGCTTTTGTCCCTCCAAAAACAAACATCAACAAAACAACACAACAGGATTTTGGGTGTTTGTCTTTTGTTTGAGAATCTGTGGATGTTTTATTCTGTCCGATTATCATGCAGAGAATAATTGAGCTCCTCTCACTGTTCACATTAAACTGATGTAGAGACAACCTCGTCCCTTTATCGGTTTTATATTTGTTTGTTATTATTCATCATAGACATCGATCTCGTACCTTAATAACAGCTATAAATGTTGTAATCACATTTGATTGGAAAACAGAGAGCTTTAGCGACAAACACGGGATTTAGTCATCTTCGCACAAACCCCATTACTCAGCCTCGCCGTTCACTCTGCGACCCTCATCTTCAGCCGGCTTATTTCCGGTTGAACACCAGGCCTACGTGAGAGGAAATGGAACAGGATCAGTGACTGTCGCTTTTTACACACACACACACACACACACACACACACACACACACACACAGTCCATTGGTCAGCTGGCTTCGTTGTACATTACATTTCATCACGGCGGGGAAAGCCGCGGCTAACAGCCCGAGTGAGTGCCTTTTCTTGTTCAGTAGCTCTCGCCGTGGAGAAGGAAGATTTTTCTTGCCTCTGCCCGTGACAGACTCAAGTGCTTCAAATTTCTCCTTTCTTGGAGAAAGCTATGACGAAAAAAAAAAACCTGCAGTCCATGGCTTCAGGGATCAGGGAAACTGGAAGCAGCCAGAGCCGGTTTGTGCAAAGACTGGACTTGAGCTTGAATGTGGATCATGGGGGGTCGAGGGGGGCTTTGAGCCAGTTCACAGAGAGAACTAGAGCGGCTCCGATCGGAGATCAGCACTCTTGCAAACGGCTAAAGCTGTCACGCGCCGCTCGTTCACTCTGCCTAGAAGTAAACCGCTTGGATTGAAAACAGTGTTCCTCCACCTCTCTTACTCATTTCTTCGAGGTAATATAATATGGTGTTTTACCAAGCCAACTTTATCAAATTTTAATTCTTGGCGTGTCACGTTTCTATGGCAAACGTATCTACTCACAATATTGAGGATCTAACAAAATCAGTCCAGACTTCATCGAAACAATTGAAATTGTGTCTTTGTCAATTAACAGAATATAGGTGTGGGTAGCTCACCAATAAAACACAGCTTGTTCGCTCATGTATTCACTCATGTATCCCGTTACAAGACTCGCACAAACAAGTTAATAGCTAAAACCAGAATTGTCAAGTAATTAATACGTTGTTGCCCTGGACTTGCTACGTACTAACTTTTTTACTATGTATTAACTTTTTTAATCATATTTCAGTCAGTGTGTTCTGTTTGTGTAGGCGTGATTTTATATGCTACAGAGTCACTGTTAATAACTATTCACATTAACGACCAGTCGAGCGTAGGTTTCCTGCTTCACCTTACTCTGTGTGAGAGACTAATGATGTGTGTTACCTTTTGTCTTCACAGCAAAGAAGACATGTGCCACCACAGACTTTGCCTGTAAGAATGGGCAGTGTGTCCCTGGCAGGTGGCGCTGTGATGGAGAACCGGAGTGTGCAGACGGGTCGGACGAGGCTGATGCAATCTGCCGTAAGTGGCCACTCAAACACAACCACAGACAAACAGTGCCGCAAAAGCAAGCATGCAAACACGGACAGAGGCGGCCATAAAGACACAATGGGAGGTACACGTGTGTGGCACATGTGTTATACTGTGTGTGTGCGCGTGTGTGTGAGAGCCCATACGTGCTTGTGAAAAGAAAAATTAATAAACAAGAAAAAACAGGATGATGTTATTAGCCTGGTCCTTGTTTCTGTCATGTAACTTGTTATTTTGTGATTTTGATCAGGCTGAATCATTTTTGAGCAGCAACATTGGTTTGCAACCAAAAAGTTACTTTATAAAGTAATGAATATCTCAGTGGAGACCTGGGTTTACTACCGTTAAAACCAAGTTTCAGAACAGCCTTAACTACCTTAAGATATTGTAAAATGCATTGTCCGTTCTGGGCTGGTTAAAACCTGGTGGTGCAGGACGGCGGCCAAGATATGAATGGCAGTGATGATGAGACGGAGAAGAGTGAGGGGCTTAGCGGCATTAAAGGACACTTGACAGTTAAAAGGCTGTGAAAAGGCATTTCTGGAGCTCTTGTTTCAGATTCATATAACAATGTCCAGACCAGAACAACTCAAGAAGACTGAAGTCTTGGACTTCTCACTGGTTTGAAAAAATGTCCTCAATTACTTCACGTAGTTGAGTGAGGTGTATGTATTTTGATACTTGATACTTCCGATGACACGGTTACTTTTAGCTGTATGACTTCCTGAAAGCTGTAGAAAAAGCTGAATATCTTTTGTGTCTTTAATCTTCATTATATTTCATCTCATAGCCTGCTCGTCCTCTCACTATGAATCAGAAGAGTTTTAACGGGGCTGTAAACAATGAGCAAGTTGTTTGACAGCGAAGTAGAAACTGGAGAACTCGGGAGGCGGGAGGAGTACAATCAAGCCGGACTCTGAAATAAACAAGCATTTTACAGGGACGAATGTGTTCCACTGTTTCTTCAAAGGAAGGAGGTCAGCTTTTCCACTTCTGTCCACTCTCCATTTGGCTGTGTCTACACTCCAGCTCCTATTTGCAATTTTAATGAGATCGTTTTTAAAGAGGTGATCAAAGAGCCCTTTGAAAATTCTCAAAGTAATAAGTGTGTGTGTGTGTGTGTGTGTGTGTGTGTGTCTATAATGGGCAAGTTTGTGTGCCAGCATTTAGATCTGGATCGATGCTCGTATTTAGTATTCATCACAAGGTGAATCTGTTAGTCATCAGATTAGTAGACTTGTGGTTAAGTCTCATTATGTCCAATCAAGATCAGACGCTGTGAGTTATCTTACTTTCTCAACCTCATTGATCCTCACAGCTGTGTGTGTGTGTGTGTGCGCATTTGTTGGCATGCAGAATGATGCATCCAATACACTAACCTACTGCTCATCCACTACTCTGTTTTAAACAAAGTATCATTACAACTAAGCAAAATGACAGAACATAAAAGGAGGGTTGGTAATCTTCAGAAAGATTTTGGTTTTGTTTAAAAAAAAAAAGTAAGATTACAAAGTTGCTGTAGTGATGCAACAATATTATGCTTTTGCCATGATGAGTTGATAATAAAAAGCAGCAGACTGCTATCAGTGTAAATGGTAAAATTTTAGATCAGTCAGATCAGTGACCGTTATCTGCCATGTGGACCGATGGGGGAGAGATTGAATCCCAAATTAATTGGATTTTTGCATATCTCTTAAAAGTCTGTATGATCTCCCGTAGGTGCTTTACCAAAGACTCGTGACTCGTGATTCACGCCATACAAGCAACTGTCTTGTATGTTGCTCGTCTTTATGTCCTCACGTCCACCCCAGCTATCACTACCGCCGTGTCTCATCCGCCCCCCCCCCCCCCCCCCCCTTGTTAACTCTTGCTCTTATGTTTCTGCCCTAACGTTCTCTGAACCGCTCTCCGCCCGCCTACCGCCTCGTATCGCATCCTCTTCTCGGTCCTCTTGATCTTCCCTGCTGCACGTTCACCACTTTTGTGATCTGAGGTTCTGTTCAAGCCAGGCTTTTGTTTCAATTGATTTCCCTGGGAGGGAGCCGACGGACTGATCCCCGGGACCCGTGCTTGACTGCTGATTAACAACGGCCCTCCGACGACGCCTGCGGACCTCCCCCTGCCTCACACACACACACAAACAAGCTCCCACGGAGGTCTCTGTAATCACACGTCTGAAAATTATTCTGAGCCTTGAGGGGATTCTGAACAAAATGTTCAATCAGGTGATGCATGAAGAGCGCGCGCGTCTGCACACGATATTCTGCACCAATGTTGCCAGCAGCAGTAAATGTACCATAAAGTCACTGGATTGCTGAATAAGTGATAGTCATTCATTTATTTATAGAAATAAACACATGAACAGACCACATATTTGGACAGGACAAGGATTGAATTTATTGTTTTCCAAACTTACCCTTAAGTGTCAATATACACACAGGCAACACACAAATAAGGATAGAAATGTATATTCACGGTGAGACAAACTTTTACATTCATGTGAGGTTGAGGACCAGTTTTGACTTTCCCTGCTTTCACTCTTCATCGAGAGCCACATCATTAGGGGTATGATTTAAAATATACGTTTATGCACATCTGAAAAGTTGGGCAGTAACACCCTTAAAACCTTTCAGTACCTTCACAGAAGGGTTTGTTTTAATGGTGCTTGCCACTGATCTATTATGTACGATAACTAAATACTCAGTGATTACACAGAATAATCGGTTTCTAAATACAGGACACTGTCAGGCAGGTTAAATGTATTTTCACGTAGGTTTTGTATTTACATAATTGACTACAATGTGGCCGCCCATTTCATAATCCATGTGCCAGACGTCAAAGTTCTAATATTCTGCCTCTAGACATTACAAAGTCAGCATCCATTTACTTTGAGTGGCATCAGCGAGATCCTGCAGTTTAACAATCAGCACTGATTAGGAGAGCGGCGTTGCTTAAACTCCCTCTCTGTGTGCACTCTTTGCACTCTGCTGCTGCACATCTAAACTCCAGGGACTACAAAGAGCTATTGTGAAACATAATGAGTAGAAAAAAAGCACAAATGAGAGTTTTGATCATTTAGGAAGTAATCTCAAGTCTCACACGGCAGAGCGTTGTCAGATCAGGCTGATAAAGCAAAGGTGTTTCTATCCCCTTTGGGTCAGATATTGTGAAATGAAAGCAGTCATAGCAGTGAAGAAAAAACAGATTTTTTGATACGAGGACCAGCATATGACATTCTTTATCTGTGCAGAGCCCCAATCGCAACACCTTTTAAACTTGAAAAAAGAATTCCAAAATGATTAATGTTGTAAAGTAGCATTTATACATGAGTAAAAGCTGATTTTATTGATTTTCTGATTAGATGCTTCAACCAACCAACTTACTCAGCTCCCCGGGGCATAAACACAGGCTTGATTTCCCACTTATTCCATCTGATGAAGCCCGTTCATCTAAAGACACAAACTCTCAAACTCGAGTCTCTCATCACAGCAGGGCTTCTCTCCCACTTTTGGTTGCCTCGAAGAGCACATATGCAACCGCTACTGACTTCAATTTCTTTTTATACATTAAGCCCTGCCGAGAGACAACATTGAGACAAGTGTAACTTTGGCCCCGCGTAATCAAACAGGTCATGGAACTTCTTTATTATTTAGTCTCCTGAACGTTTCGCTCCTTTTTCACAATTGTTAGCATGCTAAAAGGCTTAACTGACACGGCAAGAGAGAAATAATGTCTTAATGTCCAACAAAAGTTGGTAAAATGGATAAATTGGCTGCAACATTTTCAAGTGCATTAAAAATACATGTTAGTGAAGAGCTCCTTTATGTCAAGATGACCCATTGTTAAACACATTTTTGCACTCCTACCTAAATTCCCACTGATCCAAGGTACCAGTCTGTAAGTGTCCCTTTATCATGATGTGAAACCTGTCCCTCCCTCCCCCCCTCCCTCCCCCTGTCTCTCTCGCTTCCACCTGCCTTTGTGTACAGAGGTGGGTTCCTCCTGTCTCTATGTGATGAGACAATAGGCAGGTTAGCGTCTCACGGCATGGAGGCAGGGTGTTGGGAGAGTTAATTATTTTGGAATACTAACGGGACGGTGAGTTAGAATGTCGGACAGCTTCAATTTCATGCTTCAGGGAATGGCAGCGGCGAGAGTAATTTCCCAGGTGTCCCCCCCCTTCCTCCCATTCTCTCTCCTTTCTGTGTCTCTCATAAAATAATATTTCAGTCAGTTACCCCCCTCAAAGACGATACACACAGTAAAACAAACACAATCATACAGATGCAGACAGAAAGTTTGACTCAATTCTATATCGTGTGTGTGTGTGTGTGCGCGTGTGCTTGTGCATGTGTCAGCGACCGACGTGTTTGTGTGCAAACCAAGGTCGCTCTGATCTTCTACTTCAGAGTAGTCTAATTTGTCTCTAGTTTCTTGCTACATGTTCTTTTAATGGAAAGCCTCTGTTACCCTGAGCCAAATTTCCCTCACTGGCCACAATACACACACAAGCATAACTGCACACACACACACACACACCGACCTTCCCTCAGTTTTATCCCTGATGTACTTTGGTGTGATTCAAACTGTCAAAATGATCAAATGATGCGCTTGCAGTGCTCGTTTTCAGTCAGTCTTTCATTTGAGACGCAGCCAGCAGGCTTCATGCCACTGATGCCGGACTCCAGTTACACTTACTGGCTGTGCATGAACCGTATTTGACTAAACAATCGCAAATCAAGTGTCCACTTGTGTGCTTCTCCAGCCAAGCCCCTCAGCTCAGGCCCTCATGTGCATTGTTCTGCTTATCTCGCCGCCTTGTGGCATACCATTAACCCCAAGTGTCTTTAACTTGATTTATAATAGCAATAAGTCAGAGTGTATTGATCTCTAAAGAAAGTGAATAGCCACACAAACCACAACATACCCAACAGGAACTACCAAAGACACATTGCATTTTAGCTGCCTTTTTAAAAGCCATTTTGCAGTAA